CTGATAAGCCACTGAAGGTGATATTCCAAATTTAGCCAAACATTTTCTCAAAAGCTATGCATATCAACATAATTATGGATTGAACGAACGTTTCTTTTAGAGAGACTGGACTTACAAAGACCAGAGCGAATGCCATCACCTCCAGACCGACGGTTAAAGCCACTCTGAAATGGTCGCAGTCACGCCTCAACTCGTCCAGATCAAGTGTGGCCAGAAGGATGACAACGCCCGTTGAGAAGGCCTCCATACCGAGAGCCTGTCCAGGACTGATGCCCTTGCCGGGCTGGGTTATACCAGCAAGTCTCGTTGCCACCTGGTCGGCGGGCAGGAAGGCAATGGCAATGTAGGCACCGAGTATGCCGCCCACAATTTGGGCTGCAAAGTAGAATAGCGTGTGCAAAAGTGACAGACGGCGCTGGATGGTGAAGATCAACGTGACGGCCGGGTTGACATGGCCGCCGGAGACAGAACCGAATTGCCAAATCATGATGAAGAGGGTGATGCCTCCAGCCAGGGCGCCACCAACGAGGCCACCATGCACGCCCGAGTAGGCCGTGCACACAAAAGTGAGGACCATCGTACCGATCACTTCGGCAAGAACAATCCTGAAGATCTGCCACCAAGCCGCCACGGTCCAGGGTGGCATGCTGGACAGGTCTGGCGGTGGAGGCACATACAGCTGCGCAAGAGGTGAAGTAAGACGGATCGACTCTGACTCAGACATTTTGTGGGCTCAAGGGATCGTAGATTAAGATTGGCGCAGTGTTGGTTGGTCGACAGGCTATATAGTGGTCGCGGCACCACTCGACCTGGCACTGCCGCTCTGGGATTGGCTGACGTTAGGTCTCGTTTTGACTGGTCAGCTCGGGCCAAGTGAACTGGTACTTTTAGACGAAATTCATTTGTTCAGATTATAGTCTTCTTAACTCAACTCGACCTTAACTACAAAGATCACGAGACTTTGTCGACTCCATATTTATTTTACATGCGTATAATAAGGCAGGCCTTTGAATAGAGACATGTCCAAAATCATACAGAAGATACATGCTTTTACATTGTAAATATGTGGACCAAGATGATGGGGCCTTGAGTTTGGTCGCAGTCTTCTTTAGCCTTATAGTGTTGGCTCGACCTTGTTTTCGCAACTTGGTCGGAGCATCAGGGAGACCTTGTATGTGTCCTCTGCCAGCATTTGACCATTGGCAGGGTACATTCCCAAACGCTTCGCCATCGTAAGCATGGAGTTACAACAACTTGCCCCTTTGATAAGTTGTATTGCCTCTCATTGACGATGCCGGCGAAAGGTTTGCGAATGTACCCAGCCAATGGTCCAATGCTGGAAATCACGAATACTATGGCAGATGACATGGGATTAGCCACATAGGTCTAGCCAAAACTATAAATGGTTTAAATCGAAGGTGTGAATACCAGAATGGTGTGGCCTTTTGCATGGTCGCGGTCTCATTTCGTTGTATGGTTTTACTTTAAAACACGATTAATTTTGTAATGTGCCCGGCCTTGAGAGCAAAAGTGAAGCTTTGAGACAAATCTTACATCAAACCGTATTTTTTGTGGGGTTTAGATTTATTTTTAAATTGATATTTCCCTTACGCGGAGATGATAGAAACTGATCCCCTTACTTATTGTCATTTTGCAAGAAAGCATTAGGTTTGAGTTCTCCCAATGGAGTCCAGCATAAATTTTAGCGGAAGAAAGGTAAGCTAATAATAATGATATCTAAAGAGATTTGTCTGAACCCAATTACTTTCCGTATATGCATCGTTTGGGCTTGAGGGAGCTTGCTTGAATGTAGTCTTGTAATATTGAAAACTATCAGCAAGTAAGATGGACCTAATAGAATCGTTTGGTGATCCTAGTATCGGAAAATATACAGTAAATTGTGACCATTAATATACTAGTCATAAACAATATTCCGATATGATGATCAAGATTTTGTGGCCTCTAGTTTGAGCGAAGTATCCTTTCGATGAATATAAGTGGTCTGACCTCGTTTTCGCAACTTGCCGTGGTGCCATAGCCGTACATTATCCGAGGTCCTCTGTTATAGTAGTTATCATGCCTCCCAGCGTTAAACCGGGGTCTTGGTAAATTCCTAGATATTTTACCAACATCGTAAGTAAGTCTTGACATTGATAGTCTTGGAAACCTGCTCATAAACGAAAAATAAGTAATGTAGTCGATGGCCAAATCAAATAAAGTTGGCTTCAACGACAATCCCCTACAAAACGTGATATGGAAATGGCCTTGTCTTCCATGAAATTAACATCTACCCTGTGACATAACAGCACACGTTGTAATATGTCACAGGGCCTGACGTGTCGAGAGTATACTCTAGACTATTATATTCAAATCCCGCTGGGGGTGCTGTTAAGCCCATTCAGGCGAAGTCGGAGCTGCAGTTCAGCCTGGATGGGAATACATTTATGGAAGCAAGGCTATATGATATTTAGTGGAAATTAAAGGGCTATACATACCCTTGTGGATAAGATCAACTTGACGAAATAGGGAATATACATTTGATATATGTATGCTGTTATGGGAGTCTCGAAAACTTGTTTGAAAGATAGAGAACATTATAAGTTATGTGACCTTGTTTTCACAACTTGGTCGTGTTGTCAGGGCAACCTAGTTAGACACACCTCCTCCGAAGTCCTCTGCAATAGTAGTTATTATACTTCTCAGCGTTGGACTTGGTACATTCCCAGTAAGTCATGCCATTCTCAGCATCAAGCTACAACTCGTCAAATAGACAAGTGAAGTCAATCCCTTGTCCAACTTTCTGTCCAACGGTTGTGCTGTAACTCCTCTTTCTTTCCTAACCCATCTACCTACTGCCTAGCCTCTTGTCACACTCTCGCTATATCACAACTCCTGACTTGTTTATATTCAGTTCTCCTATAGGTGTAGCCATTCTTTAGCTGTTGTTTACCTTGCCTTGCCTCCCCCATGGTTTGTTGATCTGAATCAAGCTTCCTATCCGGATCTAAGTCATGGGCCGAGTTCACTCGCTTCCAGTCCCAGTAAACGTTTTACTCAATCATTATGCTTACTTCCATTTTGAGCGAAAGTGTTCGGAGAAGAGATTCGGAGGTCGATTCTACCAGAAGACGACGGCAGATTCCTCTTTACCAGCTGTGGAATCGACCTTCGAATATCTTCACCAAACATTTTCACTCGAAATGGAAGTAAGCTCAACAATTATTAAAGAAGAGATTCCTCGAAACCCAACTTTTCTTTGCTATTTCTCAAGCCTTTAGAGGCATGGATACAGTCAGTTACAACACATAGGAACCCTTCGAAACAAAATTTTTTCTTCAGGTGTTAATATAATTCGCCTAAATGGGACACTCAAGGGAAAAGTGATGAGAAGAAAGTCATATTCCGTACTAATACTCATTTTCGAGTCACATCACAACCCAAAATTGAAGATCACTATACAAATTAATTCGGATTTACCTCGTCAACGGATACCCGAGGGAGGTAATATAAAGAAATATACGTTCCAGGTAAAGAAGATGATAGGACGAGAGATGTGAAAGAAGATGGAAGCAGAGCGCCTAGGCCCTGATTGCCATGCTTAAATGTAATCGGGTATCATCTCCGCGGCTCACCTTCCTCATTCAACCCGTGTACCCTGATAAAACTGTGAACGTCTGCCTCTGGTCGCTCTCTGCCTCTCGAGTGAATTTCTAGTCTATTTGGCCCTAATGTCGCATTTCTGTGATGGTTATGATTATCCTTCTCCATAATCCCGTGACCACCATGCCCCCAAAGTTGTAGTTGTTTCGTCTAGCAGACTACACTCAATGAAAACGTCTTCGCTCACCCGCTTCTTCGTTGCGATCCCTTTTCCTCTGGCTACCGATAGGTCCCTGATACAGGCATCTTCTTTTTGCGGATCATGCCTTAGCCTTGTTTTCTTCAAGTTTGCCTATGCAATAGGAAAAGTTATCGCTACTTCTGCCATTCTCCAATCTCATGTTCATTTAGTTTCTTCCCGCAAATATGTCAATGGCCTTCCTACTCTTCTGTTTCCTTATGTTTTCATCAGATAAGGCGTTTCCTACTGCTGACTTCTAATTGATCTCATGTACAGTCCGTGCAATGTGTTCCGCTATTTTTGAAATTTCGGTGCCCATTTTCCTGTAGAGCTTTTGAAGTTTCTTGGTTCGTACGCTGATTTCTTCCTCATTTCGCCAATTTATTTCTGTCTGCGGACGCAGTCTTCTATGCAGTGAAATTTTGAGCAACCCAATTGTTTACCCTCTCATATGAAAAGGCGTTTTTCCTTCACGACCACCTTAATATTCGATTTTCTGATTATTGGTTGTAGTTGTGACCTTAAGTCGCAGAAAGGTAGACATATCCACTTTTGTGAATCTTATTCTGTATCCTTTCAGATCTCCCATCATGTCATCTTCTTTACCTGGAACATATGTTTCTTTATATTACCTCCCTCGGATATCCATTCACGAGGTAAATCCGAATCAATTTGTATACCCATCTTCAGTTTTTGGTTGTGATGAGACTCGAAAATGAGTATTATTGCAGAATATGATTTCTCTCTAAACAATTTTTCCTTAAGCGTCCCATTCAAGTGAATTATTTAGACATGTAGAGAAAAACTGGTTTTAAAACAATTCCTAAGTGTTAAAACTTTAATCGGGGTCGCAGGACGGTGAACTGAGGATTTCTTCGAACACTTCAATAGTATTCCCTACGCGGTAATACTCCTTCGGTTTTCGGTGAGACCACATCACGAATTACTTCCAACAAACTTTTTCTTCGAAATGGAAAGTCATGTCACAATGATTTGAACATCCAGAAAAGGTCAACTTCCCTGCTTCCAGAGTGAACTTGACTCTTCCATCCCGAAAAGGTCAATTCCCCCTACTTCCAGAGTGAACCTGACTCTTCCATCAATCTGGCTTATACAATTTAGGAAATCCTCCAAATCTTCTCTTTCATGTGGTCAAAGTTTTAATTAGTCATCTAAGTACCGCATGAACATTCTTGTATGCAAGGTCTTAAAAATCTCTTAAAATTGGTTCAGGTATATGTTTGCCAATAGAGGTGAGAGTGGCTATGCCATAGGAAGTCCAAATATTTGTTCATAGATGCTGCCAATGAATGCCAAGTAAGTAGTCTTAATTGTCAAGTTGAATATTCAGAAAGAAGTCATCTGTCAGAATAATACTCAATTTCCAGTCTTATCACAACTACAACTGAATATCGGAATAATGAGGAGCATGATGAGTAGTATCTTACGATTAAAGGACATGGAGTTTTGGCATGAAGAATTGGAGAAATTGACTCAGATGCCCTTCGGCAATGGATACTTGAGGGAAGTAATACCAATAAAGATACGGGAAGTAAAAAGCCGATGACAGTTAGGCGATTATTAGGGAAAAAGAAAGATGATGAAATGATAGTGAAGAAAGTAGATATATTCCTAACT